GCTCTGACGTGACCCCCCCGATTGTAGCAACGTTCCAGGGGCGTCCGGGGGCTCAGGCGCTTCGGCCCCATTGCCTGGCTTTTGGGAGGGGGCAAGAACCCGCACTCAGGGGAGCCCCACTTCACGACCACAGCCCCCCAGAGGGCCAGGGGTGCTTCCAAGGGGAGCTTGGGCTCCGATTGCTTGGCCTGAGATGGCACTGCTGGCCGGGGCCGAGGGAGCTCTGAGGGGGCATCTATCTCCAACTGAGAAAAGGACCTCCCTTCCCCCCGTCGGAGTAGCTGCATCCCTGATCGCTGGGCGGGCACCTCTGACCTACCCGGGGGAGGGCAGTCCCACAGTTACGGGGCCGGTAGCAGGGTTCAGAGCGGGAGGGGCGGCCCGCACGGAGCCCCCGCAGGCCCACCCCGCCCGGGAGGTCCCACTCTCTGCTGCAGCTGGCTCACCGACACGGTGGCTGCAGGGCCTAGGGGACCTGAGACAGTTGGGAAATACCCACTTGGGACCCCTCCGGGGCGACTGCTGGAGGGAAGACAGAGTTCTCCACCCTCATCTTTGTGTCACCCCACTCCACTGCCCCTAGTCTGACAGCCCCCACCCTTCAGCTTTTTTCTACTGCCCCAGTGCTGGCCCCACCTCATCTCACAGCCCATTTCCCAAGAGCTCTACAACTAGTGAAAGTAGAGAACTGCCCAGGGAGGGGGCAGAGGGGGGCAAGGGGCAGAGGCGGCTCTCCTGCTAGCCCCAGGCAAGATCAGTCTCTCTCAAGGTCCCAAACAGGACACGACTTAGCCATTGTACTTTTATTCACATCGTGTATTTTGGCATTTTCCAGAGAAGGGCAGGGAAGAGACAGGGTGGGGGAAAGACAGACCGGAGGGCGAGGGGGATCCCCGTTTCCCTCACAGCCCTCCTTGCCTGACCACACAGGGAGCAAACACAAAGAGGGAGGGGAGGCCCGGACGCCCCGTCCTGTGGAAGAGGCTGCACGAAGCTAAACCCACACGCACACACAAACAAGCCCCCCTCCACACCAGGGGCCGGCAGGATTACACAGAGAAGCTGAGCACTGTGGGTTCAAGGGGCAGGGAAAGCAACAAAGTCTCCTCACAGACAGGTGGCCGGCCCCTCCCATCCTCTTCCTGCTCTATCCCCAAAGTCTCTCGAGTGTCCCCCGCTTTGCTTGGCCATTTTCCCATGGCCTCTAGCTTCTTCCCTGCTGCTGAGGACAAAAAGAAAAAAGGTACAGAGCAGGGGAGCGGGTGGCTGAAGTCCATCCCTCAGCCCCTATCCCTCATGCCAGATGGTCCGTCCCCTGTCCTCAGTGGTAAGGGGTCAGGGCAGGCTCTTAGCTGGCCACTCTCTGGTAGAAGTAGATGTAGCCCAGGTCCTTAGGTGGCTTCTCAGAGGCACACACTTTCTGGTCATTGTAGATCACCCATCTGGGGAAGAGGGTAGGGGGAGGGTGGAGAAGGAAGAACAGACTGAGCATCCACTTTGCATCAACTTAAGTCTCTGACATAGCCCCTGGAGTTGATCCCAGTGATTCCGGCGCAAAGGTTCCCAACGTTCTCAGCCTGGGCCCCCACATCTACAGGCTAGCTGCTACCTGCCTGAAGGGAGCATCCCAATCCCATTCCCTGCTCGAGTCTTCAAATCCTCCAGTCCTGCTACGGCCACCCCCGCCCACTCCTGTCAGGCCTCGGTCTGCAAACTTTTTCTGGAAAGGGCCAGACAGTAAGGAGTTTAGGTTTTGCAGGCCATCCGGTCTCTGACAAAATTACTCAACTTTCCTGTTGCAGCACGAAAACAGCCACGGACGATACATACGTGAGTAAGTGTGGTTATGCTCATTAAAACTTTACTTAGAAAAGCAGGTGGCCTTGGGCTGTCTGTCGTCTGCCGATCCCTGCTGTCAGGCATTCTATCACTTTCTGCTGTCTCTATGCCCCCCCCATCCAGCAGGCCTTTACCTTCTCCCGCAAATATTCTAAGGACTCCCAGGATGCCCCCACTCATCCCCACTAGCACGCCCCGGTTCAGAATGTACCCTGCCAGCCCCTCACCTGCCTTCCTTCTTGATGTGGCAGACGTAGTGACCACACATGGTAGAGGTGCCCATGTGACTGATGAAGGCAAAGAGCTGATACTCTAGAGGAGACAAAGAGAGGGGTCCCTGAGCGCCAGCCCAAAGATGCATCTAACAGCCCAAACTCAGGGACCGGGGGGCAGCAACTGGGTCACAAGTCTGTCTCGGCCTCCTAGAAGCCCGCCTTCCGAAGCCATGTCAGTGGAAAGAAGCTCCTGCCCCCTCTGCCCCCTGAGGGAAGCAGAGCTGCCTTGGAATGAGGAGCTGGTAGCAGACCGGCTAGATTCCGCCGGCCCATCCTGTTTCCCAGGGACACTCACTTCCAGGCCCATCCCGGACTTTAGGTCCTACTGGCACAGACTCGGAGATGGAGTCGGCAGCTGAGCGGCCCTCCGAGATGTCCATGGCAGCTTCTGCATCCAGGTCATCAATGTGACTGAAGATCCAGTCCACGGCCCTTTCTAAACTATTGTTCTTGGAGAGGAGGGAAGCGTTACTCTTTCCAACAAGTTCAGGGCCAGGAAGACCACCAGTGAAGGCCTCCCCTCCTTCCGCACAGCCACGAAAGGGTGGAGCCCAAGCCTCGGCCATCCCACACCAGTGGTCCTTGGTCTGGCTCACAAAGGATGGAACCTCACCCCCACCTGGTTCTTTCCCACCGGCCCCCAGTCCTCAGCCAGGGGCAGCCCATACCGTGGCCCGAAGAGCTTTCAGGGCCTGGTCCCGGGAGAAGCCCATGGAAACGATGGTGCTCACGCAGTCCTCCGGTGGGGGGTCAGCTGCTGCACTCGTGGAGCCAGGCCCGCTGGAGCCAGGCAGGATGAGGGGGTTTGCAAAATCTGCGGGGGTGAAGGGATTGAAGTGTGTGTGTGGGAGGACAGGGGCCCTGTTCCACCCTGCCGCCCACCCCGGCCTACCTGGATCGTCCATGTGTGACATGACCCAGTTCATGGCGGCCTCAGCCCCACTGTTGCCCGTGTAGTAGACAGCCTTGCGGCAGGCATCCATAGGGAAGCCCATCTCCACCAGCTGGATGATGACCGATTCGTCCAACATGGGTGCTGTGGGGGGAGAAGTGAGGGCACAGTGACCTGACTCCTTGGGCCACTATCTGCTCCTCCTGCCTCCCACGGTCCAGCCCTCTGGCCCTCTCCCAACACCATCCCCCCAACCCCGGTTCCATGCATTTTCTTTCCAAGGCCTGGCACCTTGGTCCAGAACTAAAATGGCGGCACGCCATCATGTGGGGGCCGCAGGACTACAGACACAGAACTGAGGCTAAAGCTCTCCCGTGGATCCCCTCCTCACCCATTCTCACAGAATGGGCCCCGTTTCTGGAGTATGCTGCCTCTCCCCACCCCCACGCGCTGAGGTGACAAGGGCAGAGAAGCAAGCGGCCAGGGCTACCGCCATCCACACAGAGAATGTGGCTGGGAGTGCCCTCGTCGGCCCTCACGTCCATCAGAAGAGGGCAGGGGAAATTTGAAAGGGAGGACAGGAGAAACACGAAGGACAGGGTCAAGGGGAGGCAGGCAGAGAAGACCCCCATCAGCAAAGGAGAGAGACAGGCAGGAAGAAGAGTCACTAACATGTTGGAGAGGAGAAGTGAGGGGAGCAGAAGGAGTCTTCGTCTTCGTTGCCATAGAAACCAAGGCTACCTTTGGGCTCATCCGGAGTGACGAGGGGTGGGGCAATGTCAGGCAGCTCCTCCTCCCCAGGCTGCAGCCCTGTACCCCTCAACTGGGAGATGTCTAGCTCCTCTGGCATCTCAATGGACACATCTGTAATTGGAACGGCGGGAAAAGGGTCACCTCCCCAGCTCCCTGGGGCCCTCCCTGAGAAAGCACTCGGGGATCCTCAAGGCCCTGCCCCACACCTTGGCACTGCTCTGGAATAAGGAGCTGCTCAGAGCGGTACCAACTGCAGGGGTCCCCATGTAATGTAATGGTGGGCCTGGGAATCAGGAGGCCTGGATTCTAGTCCTAGATCTGCCTCAGGTGCGCTACGGACAAGGACGGGGGCCTCCAACTTGTACAACACAATGATCTCATACCTCTGTGGGTCTCGACTTATCTAGGACACGAAGTGAAATCAGGAGTTCTCAAAGTCATCAGGGGCTGTTAAGACTCACGAGAACCGTTTCAAGATTATCTAAATGAGAACCTCTTACCAAGTACAAAAGTAAAACTATGAAAACCGCTTTTGGTTGTAATCATGACTGTAAAATCAAGTGTCTTCATATTTTTAGTCTGTGCTTTTCAAACTCGGCTCATTTTGAAACATTTAGGGTTATGTTTCCCTCCTTTGCAGGAAAGGTGGAGAATCACTAGTTTACACACGGTAAGGCCCCTTCTTTTTCTCGCATTTTCTGCGTAACCTCCCTCACTCATCCCAGCCACCATACCCAGTTTCTTGGGCACCCAGT